AAACTGACTTTTACCAAGTCTTATCTCTTACTGATAAGTAATCTTCAAAATTGATCCGTTCCGATTTTTATTACCATTATTTACTATTCAATAATGTTTTAAAAGTGTCGATTTATTACTGTTTCAAAACATTTTACAACTTCCTTTCCTAGTTAAGCCAGTGTTCCACTTTCGAACAGTTACATACCTTTATAACCGAATAGCATCCGCGGAAGATTATTAGTCATTCATACAGCACAAAACATTCAGATAGAGATCAAAAGAGACTAAGACCCGTATTCAAAGTCAGTTATTCGTTTTAAGCACGATCATGAGACACCTCTACCATGTGTTATTATTACATCTATGGTCTTAAGACTGTGCTTCGTCTCAAGCACTAACTGTGAATACAGATCTAAATTTTACATTGAGTTGTCTGCAGTGCCTACAGTAGATATTTTCTGTAAGGTATGTACTTACCAAGAGACTTGGTCGAATTTTGCACCAATAATAATGCACTTGAATGAAGATAAGTAGACATTGTCGTGTTTGGCTGTGTTTGGTACTACGTGAGTCTGACATGCTGAAGCGTCGTCGAGAATGCTGCCACCTGTGAGTTGAAGTCGCTACTACTTCAACGCCAGGACAAACTGTCGTTTCCTACAGTCTAAGCGATTGTACCGACGTATACCAACCAACGGATAGTTCCCGGTAATCAATAATTCTCATCGATACAAGATATCAACTGTACGTTAAGTTGCATATATTCAATCTAGTAAAAATTGTAATTTACATAAATTAATCATTCCCACATTCACGAAATAAAACAACTGTAATTGATCCAATAGTCTGTTAACTAACAATCCCCATAGCATAATTATCAACAAAATAACCCTGTAAGACGAATTGTACCTCGTACGAATATGTATCGACAGATGGCGCAGTCGTAGCTGTCTATAAAATAAGATTCTCATAGTAAGACTTTATTAACAATTATGTCAGCAAGCAGAATTACAAGCAATACAGTTACAAGACAATATTAGCAAGCAGAGTATACAGTTACGCGACATTTGATTCTAGTTTCGAATCTTCCCGCCAAAAGAATTATTACCACTGATAAGACCAAAGAGTGATGCGGGTGCCAAATGGTTTCCAGGTTTCCACGTGTTCAGGCGTGTACGCGTTTACGAAATCAGGGTGGTTAAGTGGGATGATGGTAAAGGACCCTGGAGCTTCGGTAACGTTCGCAGCTGCACCGGGAAGTATTTTAACATTCAACGCGAGCTGCACAGAGGGAACGAGTGAAGTTGTATCGTTCGCGAGCCAGATCGGTATTTACAATTCAGAAGAAATTCTGCTCTGGCCAAGAATTCGTTTGTATCTTCCTCCGTTTATATTCGTCAGTTCATCGTTCCCTGATTCATTCTTGTCAAGTACTCGACTATGCTTTCGTTTTGAGGTTAAGTACTAGCACCCTTCGCGTTCCAGTCTCCAGCAGGTATATACAAGTGTTTCACAGTATCTGTCAATGATTTTGATAACTCTGAATCTTATTAATTCATCCTCTTAAACTTCTTTTTCTCTTTATCCGTTATCTTTTTACATCTTTGGTGGAAGCAATAAGCTGGTAAGCATCGACGTAACTTAAACTTACGAAATTTGGCCCACCTACGTAAACAGCCGCTTAAAATTACATCGAATTCACGTTGGATTAAATATTCGGATTTCTGCGAGGGTTTCCTCATTTGAAAGCAACGCGCGTGGATCTTTACCGTGATGTGTCGCAAGACGCGATTTGACGAATGTGTAACGCGACGCGCCTCGGGGCGACTCTGCTACGTGCGCAGGTTCTTATTCTGGCAATTTGAACACTTTCGTTGCCAAGTAATGGATGATGCTTTATTTTATACTAGGATATTATAATATACGACATTTGAACGATACGCTAACGCGATTCTTTTAAAACAATGATATGATGAATTGTCGTGAAATTTTTCTTTTTCAGAAGACGCCATACAGTTGTTGAAACTAGATTAATATTCTCATAACGTCCTCGGATCTCCTCATCATCCTGTTTACATCCTCTCTTGGCCTTATTGGTGAAATATTTATGCGAAAAGGTGGCACATTATGGTTCGTCCCGACTCTCTCTCTATGGACAGTTATGACCTGTTTATTGTCTCTCGCTGCGTTTATTGGCTATTATCGGCAAATCCACACTCCTTATTCAAGAGGATATCAGGACGTCACGTCCGTATTGCCCGAGTGGTTTAATATCATGATCATCGCCAAAGCGGCTCATCTTTGAACACGCAACCATATTCGGTAGTGCCACCCACGGGCGATGCCACTGGCATTCGTAAGAGCATCCATCTACCTGATCAGGGATCAAATTAATTTCATTCAAGATATCGACTAAGGTCTTGAACACCGAGAGAAAATATCACTTGGACCACATTCAAACGTGCCTGCCATAAAATTGTGAGTCCTTTAAATTATTTACCACAGCATCCACGGACGAAGATGCAGTTAACACGTACGTAAAAAATTGTATAGATCCTCAACGTCTGTCTAATTCAATTGTATAATTTATAGGTATCGTATGGATCGATTACCCAAAGATTTTCGGGAAAGTTTCTCTTCATTGGCAACGAGTCGTGATCGGTATCCGATACGCCTATAACCTACAAGCTGGAGGCGAACCATGCCGAGTGGTCAGACGGGGTCCGAGTCCCAAGAACAGAAGATGTTACGTGCTTACGCGTGCCTCGTGATTCGAATGCATAGCTGTTCGAAGGTGCGTCCTCCGTCACAAGAAGTCCCCCAATGACCAAGTAAAAGGTACGTAGACGGAGGCCTTCCTCGGCCAATAGTACCTCCATGCGGAAGCCGAGTCTCACTTGATCATCCATCCCTCCGTCGCCTCTCACTCGCAAGACACGTATCCAGCGTGTCCCCGTACACGTAGCGAGCCCCGTATACACCTTCCTACCTTCTGCCTTCTGCTCCCTAGGTGTACCTACATCCTCTCGAAGCCTAAGGAGGAACCCCACGTGCAAGAAAGGCGTCGATGAGACACGTTGCTGATATCCTGATGATAACAAACTCCAGATCACGAAGCCAGCGATTTCTCTCATCGACCCGGAGACCAATGACAATGACTTTATCGCAAGTATATCAGGAGATCAGGATGAAGTTTTACAATAGGCTGCGATGACGACGGTAATGGTAACGACCGGAATGTATGATTAGCGTATGTGGGACAGCTCCATAGTTGTCCCGTGAAACGTCGTGGCCCGTTGCTCGACTCAAAGGATATAGCGGATCGCCGTTCAGAAATCGGAAGCAGTCTAGAAACCAAGCCAGCCCTAGATGACGCCTGACTCTTATGTGATACGAGTTAACTTCTATAGGTATCCCATGCGCGTATATATATACTATATGCATAAGTACATCCTATATTCCATATCCTATCCCCCGTTATATAAAAAATGCACGTCGTGTCCCGTACGTAACTGTACGACCGCGACTACATCGACGCGGAGTTAATACGGGTCTAGGGTATGCACACGAACCGGCAAAATATTATATAGGAAAGGATAGCGTTGATTCCCTTGATCTATGCAATTGTCAAATTCCTTTGGAACTTAGCGTTATTAAGTAATATATATACGTGATATACGATAAACCGTAAAAACTTATATATACAAAATATATTTCGTCTGTACATTGAATATATAATTTTTTCGCAAGGCTATCATTAATGGCCTAATCTATTATCATTCTAATACAGAATAAGATCAATTTCTATAGAATACAGAAACTTTTTTGATCCTGTATTATATCAAAGTTTTCATTCTGAATAATTATTTTGTTCAATGTACATACATATATATATACATATATAATTATTATTATATAAATTTGACATGGTTCCATTGTACTGCATCTATCGTGCCACTTTCTTCCAATCTGATTCAGGTGCCCATTAACGTTATTGGTGCGAGCACATACGCTGGTCCATCCTTGCAGGAGGATGAGGTGCACATCCAGGAGAGCAGCTGGACCGTGACTTTTTTTTAATCCGTAACAGCCTGCGTGAATACAGCCATGTGTATATGTGTCTATCTTTTTTCATCTGTGTAAGAGGAGGCGCGTGCTGCCTTCGGGAGGATCATTAGATCGTACGGTGGTGGCGAGACAGCATCTTGCCGGCCACGAGCCAGCTGTTCCATAAAACGAGATCGTCCAGCTCCACACCTATGTATTTTCAATAACCGCAGATTGAATGTTACCTAAGTATTTCATGTATGTGTCTATATGGTATATATAGATATATAGATATATGCTGCCAGAGGATAATACGTAACGGATGGCTTGTGGAAAGGAGATTTTTTTATGGGCTACGTGGTATCCCTCGATAGCTTGATCAATTTATTAGTGGCAATCGTTCGATGGATTTTATTGGTATTTCATTTTGCTTGTTCGATGTGTCAGTGGGTTAAATAATTAATTGGTGGGGTCATTGGGTGGATTGTATGCGGAAATGTTATTTTCCTTGATGTGTACCAGGTGTCTTTTTGGATGAGACGCTCTCGAAGCCTCTTTTCCTGTCATCTGGAACCGATCCAAAGAGACATTTTGAAACCACCTCGCGAAAGTAGGTGCTGCTGGCGGCTTCGGATAAATATTCTCTCGATCAGAGATTCGAGCGCGTGACTTTAACGACCGAAAAAAACACGTCTGTGGGTTAGGTGTGGAATATTGATTTGTCTGTTTTGGGCAAAATTCACGACTAACGGGTAATTTGGAAAAGGGCCGAGGGGTTGTCTGAAAAGAAATTCATTCAAACGTTATATACTTGGGGGTGTCTGAGATGTGCAACGTCGGAAGATGAGTCTGTACTGGACCAAAAAAAAAATAATTAATAAACATGAAAACATACCAGGTTCTCTGCTTAGCGTTATCTACTGATTTTTATAAATATTTAATTAATCTTTATAATCAATTTATTGGACCTTTTTTTAGATCTGGTGGACCATCTTTAAGGATCCTATCAGTTCTATTTGATCCATCCCGGATGCTGTGCAGATGATAAGGACGAAAAAAATAATTAAAACTTGGTATGTTATCGGGCAAGCGTATTTATTCTTGTTAATGAGATTTGTTTAAAAGAATAAATTATTTGTTCTTATACGAATTTTTATTCAAAGGGATGCAGGTGCATGCACGCGAAGGTTTCACCATACTCCGGACAATTCCTGAAAGATATTTTGGTCCTAAGATGCATCGCTGGTACCTGTAGAGAAATGCATATCGGATATTCCATCCATGATGACAATTCGATGTCCGAGTGTCAGCGATATCATGGTGTAAGACTTTGAGTCTTGATTCACGGTGGGCAATTGTCAGTCGCGTCAGGCGCACGCTGAATTCTTATGCTAATGCGAGAAAGGAGCCGAGAAGACAATACAGCCACATCCACGTTCAACCACAACATACGCAGGTCGTACCGTATTCTGTATTCTGTATTCCGTCTAGTGAATTAATACAGCTACGGGGACCGCCGAGTGATTTTAGATGTGGAGAGATCGTGATCCGCTCGCTTGGATCGTTGACCAGCTGAACCTGGCACGATCGCCCGATCAGGAGGAACGTCCGGGTTTTGAATCTCGAGACTTGGATACATGAGAAATTTTCACAATTTTCAATTCCATACGAGAGAGGAAGAGGATAGGAGATAAATTTGAAATTTCCACGAGAAACAATGACAAATCTAAAGAAAAAGCAGAGCCACAATATTGAGATGATGACGAATTTTCATAGGAACTGTGACTAATGACTCTCAGAAGCGTCACGAAGAGAGAAACGATAAAAGTGATTCTCTGGAGTGGAAAGGAAATGGCATGTTGTATCTACGCAAGAAAATGACACAGTGCCCGGCTAAAATTTGCACAATAGTTTTGGTTTACCGTGTTACGTACGAGAAAGCAAGGATTCCTCTTTCCGTTTCTTCCTCGAGTGACTCTGTTATGTGGAGGTTACTGGTGGATGCTACTTCCGTTTGGCTGGCACAAGAACGTTACGGTATCGGCACCACTTCCGGTCAACATAGACGCTTCCGGACTACAGTCGAATTATCCCATGAGCTTGGTCGATTCCCACGCGGTACACCCCTTTGCGAAAAATTTTCAACAATGAAACCAACAGTCGTTGCTCGAAACAGTCAGCTGTGGTGGAACTGTTAGATAAATAAATATGTAACAGAAATATGAAGACTCAAAGGATAAAAAAAGTAAGGATTAAATCTTTATACTCCATAATGAAAGTTTATTTGGCCATTCTCATCCACTCGTTTCACTGCTACAGGTGTTCGTGACTATTCGCAAAATGAATCATCTATTCAGTGCATGCAAAGATGTCGATAGCCCTCCTGTATAAATATATATATATATATATATGCAGGTATGAAGTACAATCACGAAGTTTAAAAATGGCTGCACAAAGCCATCACACACAAACGCACATACCCGTCCTTATGGCTCAGAAGAAGCTTTGGTCGCTGATCGCTGAACAACGTGCGCGGCCATTACTCATCGATTAGGATTCATCAGGACTCTCCGTTACTTTTTAGGCACGAGCTCAAGCAAGTTGTTATGGCGCAGGTTGCTACCTTCATGGCGTATCAGAACCCATGACTATGTATGACTCTTGCAAAGATCTTCCATGCTGTTTTTACAATCTCTCAATATTCTATTTGAAGCTGTCCTTACGGTGCAGCCATTTATTTTGGTAATAGTACAAATGACCACCTGTCACTTGGACTGGTCTTGAGAAAAGCTCAGCAGAATACCAGAAAACAATCTCTCCTTGGCTACCATGTACTTAATTTCTTTTCACTTCTTTACAGTTAAACAGAGCGATAAATTATTGCTCCTCGAATCCAGCAATTGCGAAGATCTCATAAGTAATAATGCAGGCGTATAAGGGCATGGCGATGGTTAAAGACAGTGACTGATGCCGGTGCGACGAGGAATCATCTACAGGGAAATCAGATCACGATTAATGTGGGAAATCATGAAGCCCAGGAATATCGGTAGTCAAGAGGGAGGATAACACTGAGAAGTCCAGCAGGTAACGGTCGTTCTGCCTGGCCAGGACAGATGAGTGTAGCATTTCCCATATTGTCTCCGCAACTGACGACTATCCTGCAAACAGGCAACCACTAATCCAGTGGTGCTCAGGATGCTTGTGTATCTGACACCCTTGCAAGGGATGAACTCGAGGTGAGTTTCGAGCTGTTCAGTGAGTAGAGAATAAAAATGTTGTTAATCCTATATATGATTGACTTTTAGGTTACCTTAATCCCATTACCATTTCAGGGTAATTTCTAACCTACAAATTGGGAATGAGACAAGATAATAATTAACCAGGAATACAGTCCTGTGGGCACGATATCGTCTTTTAGGTTAGTAATCAAAGTTCCATTTTCAACCTGACTCTCATGTAAGAGTGACGTACAAGTAGCACGGCTCTTCTTGATCCTGTGTGCATTTGGTAAATTGCAGATGAAATTGAGCGTCACTGAACTGACCAGTACGACATCCAGGCAACGAGGCAACGGCACGAAGACGGCAACGTATGAGCGAGCAGGCAGTAGGTAGGCGTGGCTCCCACCCAACTATACAAAATTACATATTCCTCATCGAGGCTCGAATACGGGAAAAATTATGAATTGCGCTTACTGGTAGGACGTAGTGGAGCGTGGCTCAAGTAACTTTTAAACTATACTATGAACCATTGCTTTATAATGGCCATTCACAATTTTGCAGGAGGATCCTACTGTGGCAGTGAAGACATTCTTTTCAAATATGATCCAATCGATGGACCCTTGCTTCAGTTGACACATATACAACAAATTTGGAAATCTCACAATACGTTCTTCTGAAGATGTTCCTGTCAAACGTCATTGTTACCTGATGACCAAATATGTAAACTCCTGGCAGTACGGAAGATCCGTTGAAACGAAAAAGCGTGTCGAAGTGTGAAGTGACCTTCACAAACGAACCCGTAACCTCGAGCACAAGGGAAGAGGGTCCCTGTACGAGCAAGTATAGTATAACCAAGCTAGTATTATAATACAACTACTGGGTGACCAACGGCACGCGACTAAAAACCGACAGACTCCTCCTGTTTGACTTAGAGTATAGTCCTTGCGGTTGGACTACCAGAACAAGTGTCAAAGTCATAACTTTTTTTTTTTAATTTCAATAGGTACGTCTTACCGTCCTGCACTGAAGGTTTCCCTTTCGTTCAAAAATATCGGCCGACAATTGTATCCACTGGACAATATCATTAGGGCCATGTTGAGCGTACAACTACCAGCTGGATCTCACAGCTAATGAAATTCCACTAAAGCGATGCTAACGGCAGCTTCACTCTGCCACTCTCACTATGCCAATTACGCGTAATTAGCTGGCTTTCAAACATAACGAAGATCCCATACGCTGTGTGTCTAGTATGTATGTCGTCAACTCGTCTCGGGTAGACAGCACAGTTTACCAGAGACTTTATTTTACCATGTACGACTATTATTATACATACATATGTATGTACACGGGGAGAGGCAAGTAAGAGACGTCAGTTCGGATGAAGAGAGTAAAGGATGCTCAGGTAAATATCTTTGAAGAATTTATGAATAAACGCCATCGCTCTTTGTAACTTAATTGTCAATCGGCAGATACGTGGATGGTTTAATAAGCAACTGAATCTAGGCTACGGGGACCTTCGGCTGATTAATATATACGCCCTCTGCAAGGTAGTCGCAACGAGTGTCGATTTACTGGACGCAGTCGCGGGTCAAATTCACTCAATCACTTATTGGAACTGGAAGTTGCATCGGTATCAGGACAGACCACACTGACCACCACACAGACTTTACTAGGAAGCTCAGAATGTCATTGGACATGAGTCTTCGATCCAGGACGGTTGGACGATACGGTAAAAGAGGATTACACAAGTCTAATTCATCACTTGAGGATTTTATAGTGGTTACTTGTCCTCCATAATAATTTCTGCACGTAGAGATCATATGAATTTCTATAATACAGTGGTCATCATTAAATGCGATATTACTAAAATATAACTATAGCAATGCATGATCATCTGTCAAGTGATGGCTATGAGTCCCGCATCTGATCTAGATTTCCTCTTTGCAGATTTCTGAAAGGCAGAGATCTCATCCGTGGAAACTCCCACTTCACTACTTCATTAGATTGGCTAAAATTCTCACGACTCTCCCAGCAATCCGCGCTGCGTCCTTCTGTCCATATAGGATTACGTTAAGCCCGCGAGAGACCAACTTCCGAGAGGAGAGGACGAGCGAGCGACAGGAACGTCGGGGCCGAGGAGGTCAGGAGAGGAACGACGGGAGGAGGAACATGGAGGGGAAGTTATATGCTAGCGAGGAGTGGAGACAGAAGAGAGAGAGAGAGAGAGAAAGAGAGAGAGAGAGAGATGAGAGATGCCAGAGAGGTAATGGTAATTCCTGGCTGGGACTTGGGAGTCTCCGAGAGGTTTCCCACCTTTTACGGTTTCCCTCCTCCAACGAGTCGACCGACCGAGCCCAACGTCCGCTCGTTCGCTCCTCCGTCACTCGCAGGGGATGATGCGTCCGTCCGGTATACTATACCCATAAGTATATATATATTTTGATATACCACAGGGAAGTATCTTCTGACCTTGCTGGCTAAAACCTTCTGAATTATTAGCACGCAAGTCGCTCTGCCGATTATTACATTATTAAATGGAATAAGGATGGTTGGTTACTTGGAAAGCTTGGTCGCAATCAATACTGACTCCTGGAATGTTCTAGAAGGACTGGAAGAATAATAGAAACGAGATGCGAATAAGATTTCGTAAACTGATCGTGAGTCTGAGTAATTTTCATAGAATGATAAATTGTTATTTACTTGACACGTATAACAGCACGGTGACAAGTTAATCTGTTAAGGATTACGTGTTGGTTATAGTCATGAAAGTTTTTATAGCCGGTCGTTACACACTTTCTTAGTGTAATGACTGAAAATGAAAGTCTTCGTCGAAAATATGTTCCCGTTCTTCGTATTTGTGGACATCACCAGCCTCGTGTGTTTTCGTATAGCGTCAAGGTACGCGTCACGAACACTCTTACGAGGTCAATGTCAGCAAATTCTTACGTGGCGCGTAACCGCCGTACCGTTTACGCGGAGTCTCTAACCTCAAGACTAAGAATCCTTCGATCCTCCGCGAGGTCAAGGTCGGGTTCTACTATCCGCCTAACCTCACACGTAGAACAATCTTAACCGTGGCATCGCATCAGACTAAAATCTACCAATGATCAAACCAAGCAACCAACTACGCACATATGACTTCGACTGATCCTGAAGTCAAGATCCAGAGGAAGAAGACCACTGACCGAACGCCAATTAAAGGAGGAATATCAAGACTGTCAGAAATAACGAAGACAGCCGGTACCCTCGTTAGTACGTTATATGCGATAAAAAAGAAACGAATGCAAACTGAAGCCATGGATATTATTAAAAAGTGACGCGGATGATATGCCTAATGGGAAATTAGAGGTACCAAGACTCAGGAGGAGGATGCACAGTCTGCCGATCTCTTCATCCGATTAACTCCCACCTACGACTGACTGCCCCGTATTCTCTCTCTCCAACCCAGTCTCACTCTCCTCCCCTGGCCAACGTGCTCTCGCCTTTGTCTCACTCCTCCTTCACTTCCCTCTCTATCCTCCCATCCTTCTTTGCACCTTACCCCACCAACCCATCTCCCACTAGCAGTCCACCGAGAAGCTTGGCCGTCTGTAATTCCGTGGCTGACGCCACATCGTCCTGACCTCACTTCGGTATTCAGAACAGCCCTAATTAGTCGTCAGCGACGACTGCGTGTACTCTGTCTACCCTCCTGGAAACGAATATGGGTCCCACAGCCAGAAGAGAACATGCAGCAAGCTGAACCCAATAGTATGTCGGCCCAGAATACCCAGCTACTCAATTAGTAATTAAGATACCAACAAAACGACAGAGGGTGACAATTTACATCAAGGTAATACCACCCCTTTGTTCTCTATAAATTATCCAACCACGATCGATAATTCTTCAACTCTTAGTTACAGGATGAAAAAAAATGGAAGAGCAAGAAAAAATTTCCTCAAACTCATACCTCAAGTATTATGCAAACGCGCCGTCGTGATCAGCGTGCAGATATGAAATTCCACGAAGCAAGCAGAACAGCCATACGTATTCCATGCCAAGAAATCAACACAGAAAAGCCGTAACACAAATAACAAACACAAATGGCGATTACCCATAAATCCCATGCGGAAGATCATTTGGACAACGTAGCAGGGGAATCCCCTCAAGCTCTTCTTCAGATAGATTCGTGCATCCCCGTCAAGGTCACGTACAGCCTCGTACTACCGTATATCGATCTTGTTTCATTATATCAGAATTCTACCAAGAGATCAATGATCTACGGATAACGAAGATATTCATCGTAGATCGTGCCGATCGAGGATCCAATGGCTTTTCCATCCAGCGTTAGACGTAACGAGCGTTTCCCGTGGTTGGCCGTCCGTTTGGCGGGTATCCGTGGCAGGTGGTGTACCATACGTAGGTACATATCGTAGTGCGGACGATGCAGGTGATACAGATAGAAAGAACCCAGGAGGGTGCTCCGAGGTGCGTTGCGCCGCGTTTCTCTTGCGTTACGTTACGTTAGCCTGTGCGTGCGTACGCTCGGACGTTTGGATCTACGGACGGAGGGATGCGTGGACTTGTATAGTGTGTATGTATATTATATAGTACGTTCATGCATAAGGATACACGTGGTTGTACCATACGCACAGAGGGATAGACACTGTACCTTCGATACCCATGTGTATGGATGTAGGTGCATCCATAGGGCCCCGTACGCACGAGGGGACAGACCGACAGAGATAGAGGGCCACTTCCGGACAAAAGGGGAGACCGTGGTTCGCGTATCTGTTGCCGCTGGCAAGGAGAACTAGGAGAACCCGCGGGAGAGTCACACTCGAGTGCCCACGCTTCCTCTTTTACCTTCCTCTCGCTCTTCCACCTTGAAACTACTCCTTTACTCCCTCTTCTTCTTGTTCTTATGCGCTGGTACCCTTTTAGGTACTCCTCTTGTGACTTTAAGCCTGATCCATTCGTTACCGGTTTTTAGTATTTAGTCTTTGGGTATTATATTTTATTTTCAATTACTGCTAAAACTTACTGTTTTTTGATTTTTTGGCAGACTGTGCTAGGGAGTAGTTGGGGGATTTATTTTTATTTGTAAGTGGAGTTCACGGTGGATGTAATTTTTGGATATTGGATTTTGGACTTTTTCAGGGATTCATGGGGCACGTGTTATGTGAGATTGGAGGACGAGTGAATTTTTAGGATAATTTTTAAGGGTTAGATAGCTGCGTTAGTTTAAGATTTGATTAGGATTGTAATGGAATGTATGCGTGTAAGATACTGTACTTGTGACTATGGTGGAGCTAAAAGTCTCACGAGCTGCTGAGGAAATGTTGGGGTTGTGTAACGTTAAGAGAATCGTGTCTCACAGTGGTCTTATGCACTCTTGAAAATGCATTTTAGTGTCTCGAGGGAAGTCTGGTTCAATGGAGTCAATAGCGAATAGGGCAGTGATCGATTGAATTTAATTTGCATATATCAGAATTATTTGTTTGATTAATTTGACCAAAACTATGTTTTAGAGGAAGTCGCGTATTTCGAATGATTAAGAATTTAGTAAGAATCACTGTAAATTGGGATTAAAATAACGTAGAATAAGATTTTATACAGACAACTTCCATGTACGATTGAGTAAACTAACTTTAAGTTGACTTTATAAAATCGTTTTCTCGGTATGGGAATATCAAACGATACTTCCTCCTTCCTTTAATCGCGTACCAGTGCATCCCCAATTTTTAACCGGATGGCAGCTGCTCTCCTTCCCGATGATTCCCTTAGCCCAAGACCAGGGTCACTTCGCAATATTCAAGGGTAAGAAAATAATTAAATGTTAATTCAATATTAATTTAATTCTTGTGATATGCGTCTGCAGTGCCATCTACGTAACATGGACTTTCTAGTCAACTTCTACCAGTAGGTATACAGTAGATACCCACAAGTTACGTTCTTATCCCAAGTCGATCGGCTTATCTTAGGGTCCTCTCTTGGTCCCCTTACAGAACGTAAGGCTTCGTCCGCACCGAATTTCACGTGAACCAAGACCCGGTGGTTTCGCCAAGCTGTTTTACAGGTGATTTTGTAAGTCGTCCTAAGTTATTCTTTTTTTTTTCAGTCCTAACCATGTGAAAACGGCCTAACGCTCCATAACTCCTACCAGACGACATCCTGGTTCTTCACCGAAGCTCAAGCATCCTCGCTCGTAGATATTCTCAGATAGTCGTAATGGTCGTAATAGTCACGGGGCACGGGGCACTTGGTCTACGACGGCCACAGGAAACCTCCGGTGCTCCGCCATAAACCGCCGATACACGATAACGATGATAAAAAGAAAAACGAGCGCACGTACGGGTTCCGAAGCTCTCGTTTGTCGAGAAAGTGAACATCGAGGTTACTGACCTCGATAAGACGAACTTCCTTCGAGGCTTTTTTTCGGACTTTTTTCTTCCGCTACTCTCGTTCGATCACCGGAAGTCGAGCTTCCAGCGGGCATTTCGGGGCTTGACCAGAGTTCCGGTACGTACTCGAGAGCCGAGGGTCTCGGTCGATCGACATAGATTTTCATGGATTTCACAAATATTCCTTGATTTCACCTTTTTTTCACGATATTTCATATCTTTTTCAGTTTTTCCGAAGTAGCTATCGTTACTTTCAACGAAACTTTCCTTGAGGTAATTTTTCGGATTTTTTTTTGATAGACCGGATGTTCTCTAAGTGGTCACTTAAAACAGTCGCTGGACAGTCCTATGGAGATTCTTATGTGTAGTTCGTAGACACTATTTTGGGTACCTATTTAACATCCGGTTTAAGAGCGATCAGAAAATTGCCCGAACAAGGAAAACAAACCTGTTGCCTCTATAAAAGAAAACGAAACCGTTGAAATAATTTATTAAACTTTTTTTTTACGTTCCTTACGCGATACCAAATAATGTAATTCGATTAGCATACACGGTAGTTATTAGTTTACTCGCGTTATCCTTTATATATTCAAGACAGAGAAAGTAAAGTATCGTTATCTCACTGAACGTCCTCGTAACTCGGAGAGAGTGTTACTTTTAAAACGCGCTGTAGATCGTTACAAGAAGACACGGTATCTGAACACAGCATGCGCACCTGGCCGAAGAAGTTCTTTGACTCTGAAACGGAACTCTCACTTTTTTTTTACGAAAGTCCTCAAAGACACAGAGAATTTGCAAGAATAAATAGGAAAAGAAAAAAAGTCCCTAAAAAAATAATAACTTCCACCTAACCTAACCTGTCCTTAAATTATACCATCAAAACATCAAAATTCATTAATTTCGTAAATATCAAAATATCTTTCTGCATCCTACTACCCTTTCCCATCCTATAAGTGTATATAAATTTAAAAAAAAAACCGGTTCAAAAATTGACTCCAGTCAATGAGACAAAGGACTCTGGCAAGCATCCTGGCGTAGGTACCGTCTATACCAGAGAGAGGAAATCCGAAGATTAGATCCTGCAGGCCGATCCTGGGGAGGTGTAATTCTCCTTAATCGAGGGAGGATGTGGAGTCGGTTAGAGCGAAGTCAGTCAGTCAGTTTCATTGGAACGTCAGCTGCCCGGATGTCTCCCCCATCTTTGGGACTCGTGTTGCAGGGAACAGAGGCACCCATGTGAGACACCTTCTCCTCCGTGCTCACTCACTCGTCTGCTCGCTCAGGTGGACCCACATGCACGTACACATTAACGCGATACGAGCAGACGCCCTCGCAAATGCATCTGCACATGCAACGCTTACTCGTTAGTCAAGCTTACTGGACAATCGTTAAAGACACTGAGAGGTAGTACCGGTTCGGTCCGTATCAGGACGTGTGTTTTTAAAACTGAAAAATATCATTCGATTTCGTAAAAACGATCTTTCCGTGTCTTACGTGCAGGAAAAACGTGATGTAGATTGTAAGAAAAATTATATATACTCACTCGCGATTTCGATATAGCATATAACTCCTCTCGCACTAGAAATTCTCATTAATAAAAGAGAAATTAGCGATGAGTATTACGGTACTGTTGTACGGTTACCCGAGCCCTGGCAGAAATTGTTCTGTCGATTACGCAAAGCGCGAAGGATTATAACACGGTCCTCCATCTTGGAAATGGTCTAGAAACTAAAGTGAATTTATAGATTTAAAAAAGAGTCAGATCTGTCGAAATCGTTCGAGTTCGTCGCATCAGCGTTTTCGCGTGTAGAGTAACACAGGAAAGAACAGAGCCGACAGGACGTGTATATTCGCGTGCGTAAGCATCGAAGAGACGCGGGCAATATGAGCGACGCCGTAATGAAAAAGGAGGCAAGGGGAGTGTAGAGAAAAAAGATTAAATGAATAATAGAAGGATCGAAGACGAGTCGAGTTAGAGGCCCGAGTGTCTCTGGTGCTCCAAGGCGCAAATGACACATCGTATTTCAAAAGGGGTCGAAGCTTTTTATCTGGTTTCTTGGAAATCCTCTCATATAACGGCGACAGCCAGGGATTGGTACCATCGTACAGCCTAGCAAACGTGGATCGAGTATCTGAGTGGACGATTATTTAGTAAAGGTAAGCGTATATGTAGGTTGGCATGAGCCGAGATGAAGAAATGTGCGTGCGACGTTGTGAACGCGTTGTAGCTTACGTGAGGAGTTGATACGATACGTGGATATATATACAAATCAAATTTCGAACATAGTACAGCATACTACAAAAATGGCAATACAGCAATGCACTGAAACTAGTCATAGATATACAAATAAATCATAGAGGTTCAAGCGTTGACTAGACTGGTTGCTCGTGGCGCCCTCTGTCGAACTTACTTTTGTACTTGAAGTTAACCGTCTTGTCAGCATTTCGAGTTCAATGATCTTCGAGGACACTAGTAGCTGTCGTGAAAATGGGAGCATACTCGATGCGAAGAAGGAAAATAAAAGATATAGAGTGAGTAAAAATTTTCATTGGATGAGAATCGATTCGACGTCAGCGGATCTAATGTACAATAGTTTCGCTATGTACCGTTCCGTTCCATAACATTCCCTTATGACTACGGAACGTGGAATTCGTGGTATGCGTGTACGTACACTATACGAGATTATTTTAGGCTATGTACTTGGTCGGTGTATGCTGACGTTTGGTTAATGACACTTTAGTCTGTACTGAGACCTCTGTATGTGTTTGTTAGGGAATTTTGTATTGATACGATCGCTTGAAGGAGATGTTTTGTGATGCTGCCTGGAAAGTTTTCAATCTTCGCAGTCTGTTACCGAAACGCTTAGAGGTGTTCTTGGAAGTCATTAAAGAGGGTTCGTGCCTAAGGTATTGTGACTATGGGAAGATGAGAAAAATATTGAAAAGTTACGATATATATTTATATGTAGATTCGTATCGCTATTTATCGATTTGCCAAATGGTATTGTCGTCTCTGTGTTTAACGATTCTGGGGAATCAGATAAGTCATTGGCACGGTGAAATTATTTGCATGACAAAAGAGAACAAAGCCGCGTGTATACCTCGCTCGCAAGCTAAGTGGCCGTCATTTGGCTCTAAGCGCTGGCTTAGTTTTCCAGATTGTTGCCTAATTGAAAGGCACCGCTAGAAATGAGATTTGAGATTCTTGGTAAATACGGGTAATGATGTTTTTGGTGAGTAAAGATACTTTTGATTTGGAAAAAAATTTTTCAATTACTGTCGTAAGAACCAGTAAGGTCATCATAGATATTATTGAAATTCAAAGTTTTTTATTTGAAAAAAAAATTGCATCAATTTTGCATTTAAATAGAATGTATTTTTTAATTTATGGAATAACCCAAGGCATTTTTTTTCTATTATCGTTGCTATCTTCCGTACGAGCAGCGGGACGGAGAATTTTGAAAAATATCTTTCCAAGTAAAATTCCCTACCCTGTCGTGGAACTCAACGACTATGAAGAAAAAGTGTCATGGCGTCTTGGTTATGTAGAGGTACAAGGAGCGCAATAATATCTTGACAACAGTTACGCCAACAGAGCAGATAACGATCGGCTCGTTAGAAGTAATAACTGAGGCTTCGAAAACCAAAATATATCGGCCAAATCGGTCACAAAGATTTCCAATGATCGGAGAGAAAGGCAATTTCCATTTCCATTTCCAAAGAGGTAATTAGCTGGAAGCTCTCTTCGGTCACGATTTTCAGAGAACGATTTCCTGCAATCTGTCCGTTCCCGATCTCGCTAGAAAACACCGTCCACGAGTAATAATTTTCAAAATTCCCCAAAATCGCCCATTCTCATTATTCGTCCCAGAAGAAAATACTTAAAATTTTGTTTTTTCAAAAATCAATAAATCAAAGATCGAGATGAAAATTATTACGTGCAAAAAGCACGTACCGATTTGGCTTGGAAATTTGGATGAATCAGTTGTCCGCCCTGTAGACATCAGCATTAACGATTATGGTATTCCGCGCGAGTAGCAACACGCGACTATCGAATATTTTTGCCAAGTCCGTATGCATCATCGAATAACTTTCGATGCCGAGAAATGATTTAGAAATTCTTGGAAAAAATCAATTTTTAACGGCACAGATAATCTTGGGATTTTCTGTTACAAAAAGCATATATGCTGATTCCCACGAATTGGCAATGAAAAAAAAAAAAAAAAAAATATATTATTCCTGTGAAATTATGTCTCATGGGAATCAGTGCTATGAAAATTATTCTACAGACAAGGATCAGAAGACCTATGCTGCTAGTTGTCATTACGCGAAGACCTCATCGTTCCTGAATTCTGGCTCAAGGTCGACCTCCACCTTGCAAACCATTACGAGAACGATCGAACGAGCTTCTCCACTTCGCCACAGTATCCATAGTCACTCCGAGGGAAGAAGGGAAAAAAAGTGAGCCATTACCTGAGCTCACGAACAACCCTTAAATACCTAACGAATACCCAACTATGCCGCAATGTTTCTCACCTACTCGCCCTACGAATAGAAAAATGCCAAGACGGGGTTTCACCCTTGAGGAAAATCGCGGAGGTTCGCGTGTCCCTGTCGGCGTAAAGAATCAAAAAATCCTAGCCGAACGTACAAGAGAGTCAGTGGAGTTCAGTGAGTCAGCAATAAATTCTATACGTAAACTACTAAAGAGTTCCGTCGACGTGAATTACAATGAAAAGAAATAATCGATAAAATTAATAAAAAAAGTGACAGTCGATAAAAAAAATGTCCTGAAAAAATTGGTCCTAAAATCGTAAAAGAACGCAACTTCCGCTCGTCACGTGCTATACCGACAATACATAATTCTCCAGCCTACGAAGCTCCTCCACCTCCGTATCCCTCTTCCGGATGACCCTCCTTCGAAAGGGCTGCTGACATAACCTAACCCGGGGTAAAACCCACGTCCCATGGGCTTCCCTCGGGTTCCGCAAGTGCGGTTCCAGGAAGCAGGCAGGTCGTGCAGCAGCCTGGACTGACTGGGCTCATTGGAGGAGAGGGCGAGCTGCTGCGAAATGGTAGGGGGGTGGCTGGCTGGGGGCGAAGTTACCAGGTAAGAGCGACTGCTGTAGAGCCAGTGGTGGAGGTGGTTTTTGTAGGTGGTAGTAGAGTGAGGAGGTGGAGAGTTACTCTGGTGACGTTTTAGCTCATGCAGAGGTGAACCAGTACCAGCCAGCCAGCCAGGTATTGACCCGTTGCCTCCCTAGCTGTTTCCTAGCAACCGTTTGTAGCCAACACACCTATGAAACCTTGGAGATCTGACTTTACCTCCGACCCGCGCCCCCTTGGATCAAATCCCCGCTTCGGGGAAAGCCGAGCGATCATTAAGGCTTCCTTACAAATTCTCGCGTTCGCCCACCAGCCTCGTCCCTTACGCGGATGGCGCCGACTATGGATTCCAAGAATCGGTTACGAAGGACATTTGACTTCTTCGCGGAAAGTATTTTGGTTATCCACCCCCTTTCAGGGCAACCCCCCCGCCCCCCATGTTCACCTCGTTCTCCATTGAATTGCCGAAGGTGAACACTTTTCATGAATAAATAAGACCTAGCACCGTTATACCGTCGGGGGCCTGATGCCACGAAAAACGAATTTCGTTGGAAACGGAGAGAAAAAGGCTATAGTGGTACTGCAGGCAGGTCTGTCTAAATAAATAGTGAGCTCGAGTAGCAGCGTATAGTAACCAGTCTGAGGTAATAGCTTACCGGGAAAAGGAGGTCACCCATCTTGGCCGAGAGCTCTCGTGGCGAATACATTCCCTCGGAATGTAATATTATGACGAGCCAGTGTATTCGGAAGGGGCTGAAACTCGTCGGGCTAATGGTCAGAGGCTCCTGTGATATTGCTCACAATTATTATATGAATAATATATTGTTCGTAGGGAGGGTGTGGTTGTAGCTGGAATCGGTCCGGGTTGCCTAGCAACGGAAACCACCCACGCACCAATACCACCCGCGTTATTTAGAATAACCCAGGAACCTCCTATTCGGGTAACGTATGTATCGGATAGGGGAGAATATTTTTTCACCAGATATCATTTTCCAAACAATGCACATGCAACTGCAACCTCGTCTGCATACCTGAATTGCAATTCATACTTCTCCTTGAACGTACAACTTTTTTTTTCCATAGTCTGACCGATACATGAATACATCCCCTATGAGCAGTTGTACGCTATTCTGACCAGTGGAAACAGACAGCATAGCCGGCCGAGCAAAATTATATAACGTGTATCACGTTTATGTATACTAGAGGATTCATCCTGTATATATATATGTATATACAAGGTAGAAAATAGCCAACTATATATATATACCTGAAGCTATCGCGTATCCACATGACTACATCCACACCATGGTCCTCCTCTCTGCCGGGAGTAGAAAAGCCAGTAAGTCAGCCAGCCAGCCAGGCTCGATCAATACCCAGGGTGCTGGAGTCACCCGTTCCACCGACTCGACTAAGAGCTCATTCACTCGGCCGGGCCTTCGTCGAGGTATCTCTCGCGAAATCCGGCTTTCTTGGAAATTGCTACGATGCCATGCGAGGAAATCGGCACGAAGGAGGCCGTCCTGGAGGCAGGACGCCATTACTGGATAATCTCCCGGTGGGGATGATACGAAGTTAGGGGGTCGTTCACAGGCACCAAGGAGGGTTAGTACTTTTAGATGGACTGCTATATCCCTGCGGAGTACGGTAAAGGGATACCGGAAGTGGTGCAATGGCGGATGCTTGAATTTTGCTTGTAATGTAATTGTATATGTATTTGTTAATATTTATGATTTTTTTTTCAAGTTTTAAAATTTTTATTTTTTTTTTTTCAAACGGATGGTATGCAGACTCTCTGAGAGAGACAACGACGGTTCCTGATCATCTCGGAGTCAGCCATGCGAAACTTCCAGCAACAGACCTTCGCATTGTTCTACCTTTAAACTATACACTAATTCTGCTAACCCACGCTCCCTGAAGATACTACGCTAGTTCCCACGATCTGCGTGCACGTCAATTCAATGTACCGGTTTTGCGATTGCAAGTCCAGTTGGTATATGTCTGTTTCGTGTAATCGAAATATGGATAAGATTCTGTGCCGTGGTGTTTACCTTGTTAAGTTACTTACAGTTCGGTCTAGTGTCATTTGTCTTTTACCAAGCGGGATCTGGACGTCGAATCGATTATGAAAATTTGTAAAATTTTTATAAGAATTTTCGATACATTTTAAAACTGACATTTTCAATGTTTCTAATATATTTTTTTAAATGTTTTTTCATTTTTCCAGGTAGCTGTTTCTCGGTGAAAATTTTCAAAAAAATTGGAAAAAGGACGAATCGGCTCAACGCAAAGCTCGCGCTCTCCGCGTTACGGGCGCTACGACTCATTAGCGACATTCCACGTCGTCGGCTGAGTCATCAGTCATACTTTAGCCTCCACGACTCCGCATAACTCCGAGCATAAGCTTATATTGTGGTTTCGATCTCGAGACAGAAGCATCGGCAACCGGCACCGATTTACGTACTGCCAATGTGTACAGATAAGTACAGTCATTCGATTGCCGCAGAAATAATAGAAAGACGTCTTACTTCAACCGTAAGACGTCCAATGAGAAAAATTAATTTGCGGATCTCAGTGTACACAGTAAAAAAAATGAGAGATCGGTATCGTTGAGTATAAAAAAATTTTTCGATAAAAAAATTTTTGATAAAATCCTTGGTTAAAGAAAAAGTGATGCTGGGATTTTTATGAAAAAATTATATGCAACAGATAATAATTATCCTACCGATAATTCGAACGCGTACGATTAACGATTCTCTGACGAGTCAATGATCATCCGGTTGGTATCGACGATATTCTCAAAATCAATGAAGAAACACGAGACGAAGCGATTGTTGATTTCGCGAATCGCGATTCACCGATGTTATGATTTTTCGCGATGTTATTCTGCAGTAGGGCGAATAACAGGATATATGGTGTCCAATAAACATCCTACTGGCTGCGGGATCTCTGCCAGTTATCGACCACACATGGCCGCGCACGCACGCACCAGGTACACACGCATGGATACGCAGAGATACGCGTGACACTTACGCGCCTCGAGGCTATCCCACAACTGGCTACTTCCTATCGGCGCTAACGTGTATGAGAACGAGAAATAAAAAAGAAAAAAAAAAAATTTATTTTACCTGAAAATCAAAATTTTCATACACCCCAAATCAAGAGTCTCTGGTAATTCGAAGAAAAGATCCGCTAAATGAATTTTTCCTATCTAATTTCACGTAAGCTCTTCCAACTCCCACAGCAACAGTTATTACCCCATAAGCAGCCCCATGACGTTTTTCAGCAATACCATCGGGAAGGGAGACTCACAAAGGGGATCGTTTCTGTACGAATAACAAAATGTCACCGGTTCATTATCGAATCTGTAGAGTCCCTACGGAATCAGCCTTGATACTCGATGGTGTTTTACCGTGCATCATGGTTGTATCTACGGAACGTGAATACAGACCTTACAAAGTGGTGCTGGATACCCAAAGCTATTAGCTGGATGCTGCCGTGACATTTAGAAGCGTGGCATTTGACTTGGTCGTTTGGCCCCGACCACGTGATCCAACCCCATGCAATTTCCTATCTGATCATGGGAGTCCATTATTGAGATCTAGAAAAGGAGGGTAAGATCTCTCATTTCATCCGGCTTTCCGGGTGACATAATGCTGTCATCCTCACCCCTGTGTATTCTTCCCACACTGGGTTTCAATAGAGACCAACCACCACCGGCTACATCCACACCATCACTGTATACCCATACGGGAGTGTTGCAGATGTAACGCGAGATGGATCCGTCACCAGTTCGCCTCAAATATTTACAATTCGTCGTCATGGTCACATTAGCTTCTTTATATTGATAAAGATAGGAGAGTCATACGCCGTGTAGATATACCAACGTGATAGAGAAATAATCAGCGTGAGAGTTTCTTTTGGTAATGAATTTTATCACGTTGAGGATGATCGGACGATTTGATTAAGAAAAAAAAATGTTTTTTTTTTCAATCAATAAATTTTACATACATACAGATATCGGTACGACCATGAAAATTATTATTATCTCGTATATCATTAACGTCACTTATTTTTCTCGAGCAAGACCGATACCCCCTCCACGGGGATGCAGCTAGTTAAAAAATAATATCTCTGACTCCTTCACAGCGTGTCAGCTGTATCTACGGTGATAATAAATATCCATTATTGCATAGGGATAGCGAGAGGGATGGTTATCACATCTCGCGTTGCCGAGGCAGATGACGCTAAAAAGATCCAGCTGCCTTGGATGACTCCGAATAATGTAGCGGTGTCAGTGTAAAGTTCCCTCCACACCGAAACACTGTGCGGCTGCTCCAAAGGATAAGGATCTTTATTAAAAAAGGAGAAATAAAGATCTATATTAAAAATTCAATTAATTCATTCATCCATATCAGCCCCCAGTCTCCGTTCGAAAATATCGATCTATAACAGGACTAATCGATGGCTCAAAAAAATTTTACAAAATTTATTATCTAGCAAAAATTATCGAAATTTCGATCTGTCAAACTTTTAAGTACCCGAAAGTCCTCTTTCGTGCGATATATCGTGCCATCGTTATCAAAATATAATATTGCATTGTGAACGCACCTTGAGGCCATCTCCTCTCGCTTTCCTCGAGCAGATATAGCGTCAGCTCGACTTCCGAGACAGAAAAGCTATAGGCGACGAAGCCAGGGCTCGTGCTGCTGGTTCATGCTGCTGCTTCATGCCCGTCTCTTGTCGTTGCCAGCAGTAGCAGGTGCCATCCAGGCATTCACACGTACTCACGTACCGACGCATTCACGGCACTGACACATCGTGCACCGGCAAGATGTTGCAGCTCTGGAAGATCGAGAGGTAAAAGGAGAAAGAAGAATTAAAGAATACGATCATCCCAATTTTACCTATATACCCATTCATCCTTAAAAGGCGAACCCAGCAATTTTCGTAAGAGATCGCAAGATCTGATCACAGTGAAATATCCGGGACAAGGACCCCGAACACTAAGAGAAATTCCAAGGGATAATTGTCCAAGGTGAAAATATGACCGCCTACCAAAAAAAAAAAAAAAAAAAAAAAAAAAAAAAAAAAAAAAAAAAAGTTCTAATAGTATAGTCAAAGAGGATTCGGGTACGGCTCGTGCCGTTGGCAACCGGTAGCAGGTGCCATCCAGTTCTTATTCACTCGCGGAAGCACACGGCCTCCGAGTAAAACCCACACACGGTAAACGTATCCCACCCGTTAACGGCGTAGCACACTTGCAAGATGGTGTCCGACAAAGGAGATACCGATAAATGAGTAAAAGACAAAAGAAGTTGTACGAGGGTTTAAAAATAATTGAAACGAATAATTATACGTAACGATTTAAGTATTTTTCAGCGTTAACCTCGCTTCTCGTATAATAGAAGCATCGCGTTTCTGCAGCATCGCGAATCGTATGTGAAAATCCGTCCGCGATCGTATTTCGTCTGGTTGAATCTTCCTTGCGAAATACGTATATATTTGCACGTATTCGAGTATGCCTACTCATCGAAAGTTCGCGTTGTCGAAATCCAACGCTTCTCTAAATTCATTCAGTATGAATTTTCCCATGATTCCACAGTCGCCTTAGAATACCACGTGTACGGTATACGTGTGTATATCAATATGCCTCGGTGATATTGGCACTGCCGGGGTACCCCTTGCCGATACCTACGAACAAGATCATTGGGCTCCACATACTCGGCATCTCCCAAACCGGCAATGCGTGTCTTCGGCACAAGGTGTGCATTCACCTTTCCTCTTCTTTCTCCTCCCGGTCGATCCTTCACCTCCCGTGCATCGAGATGGGGAGCAGCTGTTGGCGAGCGGCGCGTGGCGCGTGCCACCAGGTACGTCTATAAGGAAAAAAAAAAAAAATGTGAAGAAAAAAAAAGAGCATGAAAGAAGAGAAGAAGCAGAGATAATGTCAGGGTGCGAGGATACACGTTACGAAAGAGACGAGGAAATG